GGTAAATTGAAAGCATACGCACTGATACTCTGGATAAGAATACGCATTTGCGTCATCGCATATTTCAATCTAATAGTTGAATTTAGATGTCAAACTACATGTACCTACCTCGAGTGTTTTAACTCCGGATTCATTGACATTAAATCCGGAATTTTTGTGAACGCAAACCGATAGTGTGCGTGTCAACAGGGTGATGTATAATGTGAATGAATCAAGACGTGTAGGATAGCTGACCAACACAATGAATACATTTTTCAAAACCGTACCATAGTACAAATATTTATAGACGCTATAAGGTTGAAGTAATAAAAGAAGAAAATAATAATTAGCATTATGATATATAGTAATTAAATTTTGTTATGTTTATTGTAAAATATTAATTATGTTTTTTGTGAGATGCAAGGATTTAAAATCCTTGTGAATTGAAACCACGCAGGTATTTTTTCATTCACGACCGTTTAAAATTTAGATATTTAGCTAACTTTGAGTAAGCATCCCTGCTCATTGGTGCTCATACATTACATATAATTTTCATAAATGTAATGACTGATCAAACCTGTGAGACATAATGCACGTATACATTACAATTTTAATTATATTTTATAAGTATTAGGAATAAATTCAGTCTCGATTTTACCTTAACAATGAATATTCTCTCAGTCTGGTAGTATCTATTAATGAAATTAGATACTTTTTTACAGAAAAATCCTTTTGATTAATTATCTTTCCGCTTTCCGACCACTGTGTTTCTGTCCTTAAATAAATATTTTTAACAGAAATATAGTTTTCTTAATTTTCTTCATTCTTTCCGACATTTTCTCATGCTATGATTGAATACTAAATATCAAATGAAAAACGTTCAGAAATAATCAGTTTATTCTGGGTCATTGTATATCAATAAACTATTCCCAGGTTTATTAAATACAACACACACAACGCGTAGATGGACCGTCTCATTGCATGAATTATATAATTGCGTTATCATTATACTTGATATTTAATAAACATTCACATTATTTTGTCAAAAGGCAAATAGGTTCTAACATATAAATGATTTTTAGAATGCAACCTAGTCTTTATTGTTTTACTTTCAAATCTACAAATGAACCGTTTGCCGGATTGTTGAAATATACATTGTCACGTTGTAGCCTATCCATAGAGGAACCGTATCAAAGACATACATAACTACCTGTATAAATGATGGAAAATTTTCGAGACGTTCCGAGAATCGTGATTCCGAGGATATCTAGTGGCCCATAGACACTTCCAAAACTCGCCAATATATAAGCGTGAACCCCTCAGGGGGTTCACGCAAAAATTAAAACTATAGGACTCAGGCAACGACAGTAGCAACTTATTTATCACTTGAATTATGGTGCGTTATCTTCAAAAAAGTTTAGTTTTGGATTAGATTATGGGTATGTGAATTAAACATTAAGGTTTCATATTTGTTATTCAATCAATTAACAGTACTGCTAACATTCTTATATCTAAATACACTTCCATTGTATGTTCTTTATTTATTTTTTTTCTTAACAAAGGTAACTTATCTTGTCATTTTCATACAACATACAACATGTTACATACAAATCACTTGTCATTTTGTTATGTTTATTGTGTATTGACGAATACATACTAGTTATTATGATAATAGTTGTAATGTGGTCAGAAGTAAATAATAATTTGAGACAGTTATTGATGACGGAGTGATGTGGGTGGAGGATGTACACGACACGGGAAATTCAATATTCTTACTTTTGTACTTTTTAGGCATGACATTTACCTCCCTCCTCCCATAAAAAAGAAGAAACTATGGATTCAGAAGAATTAACTAAACTACGTGAGGGATGAGAAAGGTTTGAAAAAAGGAAAAATTGGTAATACTTTAATCAACTGAAAGCAATATCAAAGTACAAGTTCGATTGATAAACGGGTTGTTTTTACCCTGATTCACTTGGAACACCATGGCAAGAGAAGACAAATGCAATGCAACGGTTAAAACTCTAAGAAAATGTATCTTTATGTAGATTTCAGAAAGTTGGGTATTGGCTGGATTGAGAACACAGTGTAACAATAGAACAGTTCTTGGATTTTAAGATATGTACTGAAAAAAGTAAAATAAAAAAAATACTGGACTCCAAGGAAAATTCAAATCGGAAAGTCCCTTATCAAATGGCAAAATCAAAAGCTCAAACACATCAAACGAATAGAAAACAACTGTCACATCCCTGACTTGGTACAGGCATTTTCCTTATGTAGAAAATGGTGGATTTTAGTCTGGGAAGACATTGATTTATTTAAAAGTTGAAATTGAATTTGAACTAGCTTTCAATAACTGTGTGTACTCTTAGATCGGTACTTTGTGTTTTTTGTAAAAAAAGGGGGAGGTCCATAAAACCTGACAAAAACAAACGTTCGACCATATCAAACAACGGAACGAATGGAAAACGACTGTCATATTCCTCGATTTTCTGAATAAAATGGTGAAGTAAACCTGGTTTCATAGCGAAACCTCCCACTTGCATGACAGTTGTTATAGTTCCGTTATATTAACCGCTGATTTTTAAAGTCTGTTCTTATGTTGTGCTGTTACACCACTGTTCCAGGTTAGGGGAGAGTTGAGCGCTCACAAATATGTTTAACCCTGCCACACTCTTTATGTGCATGTCCCAGATTTGGAGCTTGTTAGTCGATGATTATCTTTATTGCTGTCTGCCATATTTACTTGTCGTTTTTATTTCTAGCATTAATCAGAGCGTTGGTTTTTCTTATTGAATTGGTCCACATTTTATCACGTGCGTACCTTGTATAGCTTAATTTACGGTTGTCTAATTAGTAATCATACTACAGCTCCTTATTTTATAGTATATTCTACAAAAGCACGATGACTATCGACAACAACTGGTGTACAAAAGTTTGATCCTTGTATCTATGATGAGTTTATTTACAACCACTGGGTCGATGCCACTGCTAGTGCAGGTTTCCTACCTTGTGGTTTCACCAGCCCAGCAATTTGTATTGTCATGAATTATCATTGATATGGTCATAATTATAAATGAATTGTTTATAAAACTTTAAAATTTTCGAAATTCTAAGAAATTTCTACCACAGGAATAGATTACCTTAGCTGTATTAAGCAAAACCTTTCGGAATTTTGGTCATTTTGTAGACGAAACGTGCGTCTGGCGTTCATAATCTTAATCCAGTGTATCTGTGGTGAGATTATTTACAACCACTGGGTCGAAATTTATTGAATGAAATACTTAGTTTTAAGGGACTTAAAAATAGTTTTTTTTTCAACAAATGTGTTATCCCGTGTTTTAAATATTATTAAGGTAAGTCAAACATTCAAAAAACATCTGTGGATTGTAGATATTTCATGCCAGAAAAATAGACAACCAAAAAGTGTTTTAGACATCATTTGTCTTCTGTGTTTGGGTGAGATTGACTGCCTTTGGATAGTTACAGTTGGTCCGATTGATTTGTAATAATTATTGTCAACCATAAGTAACATCAAGTACCACAGGCAGTAATCTCAGATTTGTTTAACTTATATACCTTTATATAACACAAGGTACTCAACTTTCATTTTCGTGAAATGACACTCGGTCGCAAATTTTTGGTATTTTCTATCATAGTCCGCGGTCCTGTATCCCAATTAAAATTATTAAACCGGAAATCAGCAATAATTTATCTACACAATTGATGTATAACACACCTACTTTTGCTTTCTAAGTTAATTCATGGCAGGCCTTCCAAGTAGTCCAACACTAAGCCATATCCTCATATCATAATATCATAACATTTGGTTGAGGAACGAAAATGAAACATTCAGCAATTTTTCCATTTGTAAAGGGACATTACTCTAGAACGATTAAAGTGAGGTCACCAAAATTCAAACTTGATCTGTGTTTTGTGGTAATAAGTATTGTGTATAAGTTTCAAAATATTTGGTTGAGGCAAACTAAAGTTAGAGAACGGAAACCAAATTTGGGACGTACGGACGTACTAACGGATGGACGAGGGTAAAACTTAATGCCCCCTCTGCTATGGCGGGGGCATAAAAATAATTATAATGAAAACCGTAGCTACTATCCGTTTAATGATATATTGTAAATTTAGAAATTATTGCGTGCATTTATTATTGCAATTTTTGAAACATGGACAATAATGCAAGATTAATTATTGCGATTTCGGGATATCTGCATACAGATATAAGATATCAGAATGCGAGTTTTTTTTATTGTGATACTCAACCAGTTACATTATACGCATCTATAAAAACCTCGCAATAATTTCTGAATTTACAGTATCTTATTTAAACTTGAACCCTACATGAGCAACATGATGGGTTCCACATGTGGAGCATGATTTGCTTACCCTTCCAGAGCACCTGAATAACACCCAGTGTGTGGTGGGGTTTGTGTTTCTTAGTCTTTAGTTTTCTATGTTGTTTTTTGTGTACTGTTGTTAGTCTTTTCGTCCATTTTCGTTTTTTGAATATCCCTTTGGTATCTTTCGTCTCTCTTTTAATACTCTTATATTTACCATTATTGAAATCATATTATTTGTCAATATCTGTAAAATAAGGTGTGACAGCAGTGAATAGCTTTTCAAATAGTTCTAGGTTGATTGCCAATCATAATCTCCATAGATTTAAACCAACATATTATCATTATAACCATAAAGTAACAAGTTATCAGAAATTGCCCCTCTCTTTGGTGCTAAGTGTTTTCAGTTTCTGATTGTGTAGCTTTGTTACAACCATTAGATTAGCTAAGACACACATGAGAAACACAAGGTGTTTCCAAAATGAAAACTAGAACCCATATTATTTTTGCAATGCGTGATTTATTATGTCAAAAATAAACATACAGGGTACACAAGCAAAAAATGCAACAATGATATAACATGGTATCATACATCCACTCCCCATTCCAATATCATTCACATACCTGTCAGTCATAACACTGCTGACAATCAACATTAATAAATTAAATGTAACAAGGAAGTAATATAACCTTGTGCTTACAAAATGGAAGACTTGTCAAGTAATGGCAAATATTGAACACTATAACATAAAGACAAATACAAAGTAAGATAACAATATTCAGAATAAAGTATTATTATACCCATATCTTTCTCAAGGTTAACAGTAGGATAACAGTATACAGAATAAAGTATCATTATATCCAAATTTATCTCAAGGTTACCAACCAATGACAGTCTGTCAACAAGTAGATCTCAAGGTTACCAACCAATGACAGTCTGTCAACAAGTAGATCTCAAGGTTATCAACCAATGAGTCTGTTAACAAGTAGATCTCAAGGTTATCAACCAATGACAGTCTGTCAACAAGTAGATCTCCAGGTTATCAACCAATGACAGTCTGTTAACAAGTAGATCTCAAGGTTATCAACCAATGACAGTCTGTTAACAAGTAGATCTCAAGGTTATCAATCAATGACAGTCTGTTAGCAAGTAGATCTCAAGGTTATCAACCAATGACAGTCTGTTAACAAGTAGATTTCAAGGCTATCAACCAATGAGTCTGTTAACAAGTAGATCTCAAGGTTATCAACCAATGAGTCTGTTAACAAGTAGATATATACAGTGACAAAAGTAACAGATATACACTGATTTTCAGGAGACAGTTTTCTAGTTTGACTGCCAAACCAATATGTCAGCTAACACCAGATTGATTTTTCCAGTCTCTGATAGACTTTCAGATATCCCTTCCTTAATAAAATTGTAGGAATTAAAGTGGAGATTTGCAATTTTAAAAGAGACTTATCTATTACTAGAATTTAATTACTTCACAAACGTTTATTTTATTGTTGTCAGCATACAACCCTGAATAGTGGATATCACAATGTAAACACTTTCAAAAGACATTATTATCATATCTTTCTATGTATTTGAATTTGAGATTAAATTTCATAGTTTACAATTTGTATTCCAGTTCTCTGAACAGAACTTTGTTTCAACTTTTACAGAACATTCAATTTATATTCAGATCTTATTTATTCTTTTTGACTCTACAGTTATATTCTGTGACAAAATTAAGCACAGAATAAATGAAAAAATATACATGTATATAAAAATAAGGAGATTTGGTATGATTGCAAATGAGACAACTATCCATCAAAATTCAAATTAAGTGAATGTAAGCAATTATAGGCAACCGTACTGCCTGTCTTTTTGCACAATGAATATGTATAACCATTTATCTTCATTCATTTAAAGTCAAGATCTTCCATTTTGAATACACAAGATCTAAATCAATTAATTAACGAGCAAATCATTATTTACATTTCAATGTAAATGTACATGCAAAACAGAACAGATAACAATTAACACAGACAGCAGTGAACAAGAAATTTTTAATGTTAACTTTGCATAAAACAACCTATATTGCCTGCCATTTATTTATGTTTAGATCTTGGAAAAAATGGGACAGCTTCAGTTTACAGGAAATATCTACTTGACTCTGACTAGAATAAACTAATTATGTCTTACACAGCTAAAATAAATGTCAGTGGCCACACTATAGACACTTAATGGCATCTAATTTCATTTAAGTTTACTTGTTTATATCGATCAATCAAATATAATAATCCAGTTTTAGGATTATTTTTTTTTAATTACAATAGCTTTCCATAATTAATTTCTCTTTTGACCGAGTTGGCTATAATTCATTGGTTTGATGCTGGAATTTACTTTCAGAATGCAATTCATTAAGCAATAACACTTGATATTCCCAATCAATTTGAAAAGACATTTACTGTTGATATTTGTAACACAGACTTTTGATAATTTTAAGAAAAGAATGGAAGGTTGGTGTCCATTCTATATAGAAAATCATTAATTGTGGAGTAATGCAGAGTGATGCCTTGATTTCTTTTTTCTTAAACATGAAATAATATGAGTTATTTCCCCTTATAAGGCTTATTTAAAACTTTTGTTAATTCTAGTACTGCCATATCTCATCATTTATCCCATCAGTAATACTATAAGCTTAAACAAGCAGGTGTCCACAAAATAATAAGAATAAAAGTTTGGTTTAATACAATGATAGGCTTGTATCTATTACTTCACTGATATCAATTATTAATGATGGACTACATAAGATATCAGATTTGATGAGAAAAGTATTTTCTAATGATTTATTTGAGAAAATACTGAACATATTACTTTACACCGGCTGTGTGTAAGAATTGGTGGCAAACACATCTGATAAGTTCAATGGTTATTCTTATAATTCAGGTTTTATTTTGTATGGTACTGTTTTGAAGAATGAAATACCATATATTAACTTCCATTTGAATAGTGAGGATCACTTTTTTTCTTCTTTTTTTGTTCATTCCTTACTCATTATTCAAAATAAAGGACAGCTAAAGGTCATTAAAGTTCTTTAATCTTCAAAAATAAATGATCAAAAATCTAAATTTCATAACACAGCTGGTTTCATAAACCATATTTTTCTTAATGACTTTTTTTTCTTATTTTCCATGATTTTTGGTCAATCGTTATGAAGTTCCCCATTTAGTCTCTACAATACATATTTATTTCAGTGAATCCTATAACGTAGGGTCAGAACACTTGTAAACATCAGCACCAATAATTGAAATAACAGTAATAACACTTTTATTGATATTTACTAAAGTTGTGTAGAATTCTGAACAGAATACATGAACAGTCATTCAATTACCTTTCTTTACCTTGTTTATAAATATTCAATAATGAACTACATTTTAATAATTTGATCAAACATTCAGGAATTAATTGCCAGAGTTTTTATACTTTATAAACAAAGAAATACCCCTAAATACAGAAATGTTATGTTTAGGATTTATTTTTGAAGATTTAAAGAAGTCAAAAGTACTACACCTTTTTTCACAACCCACGAAATATATTTACTTATATTTTGCCATCAACACTACTAAGTTATTCTTTATAAGTAACAGAAATGATAAATGTTTGTGCATATTTTTTTTTCTCATATCTTGCTCCTGCAGAAGTTGGTTTATAGTATTTCTTTATTAACCATACAAAATGTTACACCTGGTTTGAGGATCTAGTATGGGGTTTACAGAAATTAATGCACCAAATCTACTGAAAAATGGCCAAAAAATAGGGCAAAAAATATAGAATAGAGCATAAGGGGAGCTATAAAAAATAGAGGATAATGGCAAAAAAATAATAAGAATACAGAAATGGATGACCCCTTATCCAAACCCTCTGGTTTGACTTGCAGGTTTAGAATATTGCAATTGCGGTAAGTAGATTGTATAAATGGACATTCATTTTGTTTTACATGGCCTTATTTTGTTTTCCTTCAAGATAAACTGGTTTGTAACATATGTAACCTGTAATGTATCAACATCCATATGACATATGATAGAACAAGCTTATAGAAAGTCATTCAAATCTTCTATTTACAGCTTCATCTATCATTCTTTCCATTTCATTGACAAATTTGATATACACATTAAAATCAAATATTTTACAAATAAACAGTAAAAGGAAAAACTGAACCCAAAATAAAATCTGACTGTATACAATTATGTACAATTAAATAATTAGAATAAATTAAAGCACTAGCTATAATTCGATAATTTAAATGAGAATAAATTATAGCACTTGCTCTTTCATGTGGTTCAGAATACCCTATATTTAGATAGCAATTCATTATTTGCCTCTCTTAGCTGAACACCTGAGCATTAAAGGGAGATAACAAAACTTTGATAATGTATACCCCTGTAAATCCATTCAAACTGTCATATACTGTTTCCATCACTGACCTGTACGTACATACTAACTTAGTAACTTCTATAAAACAGACAGAGATGAATTACTTATGATTTTATAGAACATCATGAATAGCACCAAAATACTGCATAACAAGTATATATGATTGGAACTTTATCTCTTCATAAGATATCTTTATAAAGTTGTACTTGAGCATGAATATCATTTTTTCTATATTCAGTCATTCCATTTCTTATAGCATCAAAAATATCCACAACAAGAAAAAAAGTTAAAAGAGTCAAAGATAAATTTCCCAGACAAAAGCTGACTTTGGCCATTAATATTAAATTTCTTATCATTACCATTTAGGTTAAACCTCTGTACTCATTTCATTCATACAAGATATTATATATCTACAACCATAGTCTGATAAAAATACAAATTCTCAAAAATAATGACAATTATCACAGATTGTTAACAATGTCAATGCTATCATTTGATCATGAAAGTGCACATGCACTCATTCTCACCAATCAATTAAAACAAATCACAATTCTTATTCTATGGTTTTACAGTAAGTTTAGAAAGTTTACATCCTTAAATGAACAAAATAAAGTTTTGAATATAAAATCCAATTAAAGTGATCACCATATCTTAAGGATGTATTCTTCTGACGTTTCAGTCTCGTTGAAATCTCGTTCTGGAATTATTTCCAAAACATGTGATACAAGTGGAAAATATCAATGAATTTAAAAAATATTATAATCAAACTTAACTCTGTGAAAAAATTGTGTATTTACAATAAGTAGTTTTTAAGTAATAAAATTTTCAAATTTTATAACCAATCAAGTCAGTCTCATTAGCCAAAATGTTGTGAAAATGGGTGAGGAGTACAAGAAATGATTTTACCAGATACATGTACATCCCATATTAAATTTTACTTGTTAAATTTCTTAGATATGTATTTTTTCAATCATTTACAACAAAGAAGTTGAAATAATATGCTTTTTGTTCTAAAAAAAGAGAAAAATCCCAAATTTACAAAATTGACAACATGGTAAATATGACACTAAAAAGCAACAAAATTTTATAAAACTTTCTTATATCAACACCTACCTATAGTTTTTTTTAAGTCAAATTTATTCAGATTGGTCCACTTCATCTTAAGTGAAAGTATGAAAAAAAGTTTAATTGTGAAACTGTGATTTTTTTCATGATAATAGCAAAAAAATGGGTAAAAATTGATGAAAAATGGGAAAATCATCAAAATTGGGTACTTTCAAATGGCTGTAGCAAAAAAAGTGCACCACCATATGAATTTTTCTTCACCAATTATTTTTTTACAGTCATATAAACCCAAAAATAAGGTTAAGAAAAAAAGTTTAGTTCTAGAAATTTTTGGCTCCTCAGAGGTGTACATCCTTAATAGTAAAGTTACTTATTGCCTTTTTGATGCCAAATCATATCATCTATTTGTTTATCCAAAAGATCTTTTGACATTGTTATCTTGGAAATTAAATCAACCAGATAGAATAACAGATCCTGTGTCCACGCTTCCCTTACAAGGATCTGAAAACACTCCATCCATCCTATTTTAAAGATCTCTTAATAACAGGATCTGCATTGTTATCAGATTGAAATTAAATGGAATGTTATATAAAGTTTTAATGTCATTAAAAAATAAATCTACCCCAAGAATTTTACATATTTGAGTTAACAGCTGTAACAAAAATTATTTCGTTTTCAGTATAAAAGTTTTGCATGATGAACAAGTGGCTAAACTAACTGTAAAATCATGATAGAACATAAAATTCACTTTTCTAACATGCATTTATGAATACAATTGTTTATTACAAGAAAAACAGGTTTTCGATTTGAAACTTTCACTATGAGAAACATTATCTGCATAGCATACACAAATTTTGATATTATATGACATTACTGTCTATTCATGAAATTTCACGAAATCTCAAACTAACCCTTAACTTTTCTTCATTTTAAGCTCTTAAAAGTATAGCCTATAACAATAATTTTCATTTTATCTATTTATTGCTTTAATCACTCAATCTGAGATGTATCAGGATGTTTGCTAGTCATGTTGTTCATCTTGATTTTTTTTAATCAATAGCATTAATATCTGGCTTAATATTTAGTAAATGTACCTAAAAAAAAAAATATAACAATCATTTTAGATCCTTCCAACCTCCTTAATTAAAGACTGAACAGATGATAAAAACAGATTAATCTTATTTTCATTGCAACTTTGATTTTACTTTTTCGTCACCTTGTATTAATTGCTTCAAAATAAAGGTCTTTAAAAGAATACAACTGCATTATTTTTTCAACATGTATACCTCATAACTAGATGTGTCAATCAGTTATTTGACAGCACCAAATGGCTTTATAAATATATACCCTCAAACAATCAATGCTATTCATGAATTTTGATCAGTTATTTGAGGCACATTGGTAGTTTTACACAAATATCAGATTTCACAACAAAAAGTTAAAATAATGACCTTTGACCTTTGAAAGACAGGTAGTTGTGTAAAATATGATAATTATGGCAATAAAAACATTCTGGCTTCTCAATGTTATTTATCTCCTCTTCAGTTTGGAAAGAGAGGTTTTGATTAAACTTATTTTCAAACTTTGGCAATTAAGATGTTTTATTTCATTCTTTATCAATGTTATGGTAACAAAAATTATTTATATGAAAACTGCTCCTAAATAAACCATCATCTTTGTCCTACATAAAAAGACATTTTCTAATATGTTTTGTGTATAATATGAATACTTTCAAATCTCATATTTAAATAAAATGCATAAAACATTTTCTGGTTTTAATAAGTTCAAAGCACAACATATGGAATGAAAGCTTTAACAGTGAAACCTTTCTAAACACAAAATATGTATATCATTAATACTTTCAATCCAATACCATTAAGCCCCCCTTCACTATTTTTTTTAAACTAAAATGAATCAAAAGCATTCCTTAATTCAAATGTTTTACAACATATGGGCAAAAATATTATTTAATTTTATTCTCAATCTATCCCTTAATTATTGAATTATCATTCTTTAGTTTTCAAAAGCCATGTACCAACATTTCTTTATCAGTAAGTAAACTACAGGCCTATCTCCTTGACCCCTTTAAACATTGAAGCCTCCAAACAACCTGTACTGCTCACCTGGACTGAAAGACAGGTTTATAAACAAAAATTAGATGTCATATTTACAAATGTTCCAACAGTCACAATTCATATGTGTACTACTACAACTAATCCTGACTAGATACAGTAATGGAACAAGGCTAACAGAAATTAAAATTGTTCAAAAACCATAATTTTCTACAGTCAAATATCAGTATAACAAGTTGAATTTGGCTGATTAATAGAGGAATTTGTGCATGTAGACCTCTAACATGGCAACAAAAGGGAAGTAATTCTTGCTCAAATTGAGTTAATCAAAAACTATCTGTACCATGAAATGTTGAATTGCCATCTTGCCTAAATTCTGTTCAACTTAATGAATAAAATGTTGGTTGGTTGACATCAGCACAAGATAAAAGTTTCAACTAAAAATCTAAAAAAAACATTCTGTTTTGGTTCAAATTGGAAATGTTTGTTGAAGAGATAAAGATTTGTTTTACAGTGTAAATGCATGGACCCATGGATGACAAGTAATGGCAATACTTCACTTTGAGTGAGTAGAGGTCAAAAGAGAGATAAGATCTAAGTTTAGATAGGTTTCACCATGCATGGAATGTGTCAGGTTTTAATGCTAACTTGAGCCCTAATAATACTACAACACTGTTCAGAATACTGATATGACTAAAGGACAATGTAATGAACTTGGAGAGGTAAACTTATTAAAGCAACCCTTGACCTTAATTAAAGATAATAAGTTTCATTTTTTTAATTTAAACACTCAGTTTTCTAATTTTTTTTTAAAGCATTTTTCTTATTCTTCGAAACATTCCGGTAATATATTTGTATGTTGAAACATACAACAATACACCAATAAGGCATGTTGAGTGCAATACATAAATAGTTTTCTCAATGAAATAGTATTCAAGTTAAGTAATGTTTTTATCCTTCCACCTTTTCCTTTATTCTGCAAATGTGAGAAATACTCAAATTTAAGTGATTTAAAAAAAATGTTTTTTTTTTCTTTTTTTCTCACTCAATATGTTATCTTAGTGTATTACCTTTATTTAAGAGAAAGTTTATTTGTAGTAATCATAACATAGAAAACAGAGGGAAAAATGACACCTACCCTCCCTATCTACACACCTGGAAATAGATATCTCAATCACTGAATGATGCATATTAAAGATGTCCAGATATAAGTTTTACCCAATGATTCAGACATATAATGCACTTGTAGAGCAATGGAACATGTTTCAAATTGAGTTATCTCCTCTTTATCATAGAAAAAAAACAAATGCATTATACATAAATCAAATACTTAAGTAAAATATAATTTATGTTGCTTCTCCTGATATCTCTATTAAATGATGTTATAAGTATATAAATAACAAAGCAGACAAGTAAGGTATCACATTCCATTGTATTACATTATTCTCAACAACATCAGGTAACAATGTCACTATTCTCAACAACATCAGGTAACAATGTCACGTTTTATATTTGTCAACTAAGCAGACTCATTTGTGTAAACATTGTAAGAAACAAACTGTGAATTCAGTATTATTTGTTAAAGAATTTCTATAAAACAGAAACTACTTTTTAAAACTTTTCCCCCTTTTGATATTTTTATAATATGGCACTTTATAGTGAACTTCTGTCACCAATTTTCTCTCACAAATAAAACATTACAAATACAAATTTCATTGAGAATACTATTTAGCTTTCCTGAACACTGAATACACATTTGACAAAATGATCACATGTGAACACATACATTCATCACATAGCTTACACAAAGCAACTCATACATCACATGACTTAAAAAGCGAAATCTCCAGATCCATTGGCCAGAAACATTGTTACAAAAAAGTAACAATTAGGTTGTCAACAAAAATCCACCGCAGAGGTGGAACTATCGCTATGAATCCACAATAGCTTGAGATCGGTCATAATCTAATATTAACTCCTTGATAAAGCCCAATTTTTTATGTAAATATTCAAATCTTTTTTTCTGTTCAATGTACTTGATATCTTCTTTCTGTACTTTATACTCTGTCCTGATTAATTCCTTTAACTTCTGCAACAATAGAAACAACATTTTTTTTTTTATTGTACAAAAACTCTGAAATGTCAAATACACATTTTTAAATTCTTATTGTGTTTACAGCTGACTTTAACAAATATGTTATTATATCCAAGGCATAGCTTCTTTTTACTGTATTTTGATGGAAAGAACAATCTTGTCAAATTTTAAGCTCTGGCATGTTATCAGTTCTTTAATACAAATTAAATCAACATCATGATGTATAACAGTGTAAAAATCCAGGATTTGACAGCTTACTATGCTCATTAAAAAAGCCCTAAGCAAAAACATAATTTTTGACACATTAATGTGCTATTATTTAATATTGAAAGTAATTTTTACCTCAAATTCTTCCGTTCCTTGCTGTGTCTGTCTCATTTTGACTTCCAGGTCAGCAAACTTCTGCGTCACTTTCTCTACGTTCTTGTGAAGATTACGATACTCTTCATACTCTAAGTTAAATTCCTGTTTGTATTTATTTCTCTGATCCATACTCATAATATTATTATATTTGCTGAAATGTGAAGTTCAGAAGTCAAAATTTGTAGTCGAAGAAAAGGAGTTGTATCTTTTGTTATTACCCCAGTTGACCAAAAGAGAGAGAGAGAGAGGGGTGGATACTCCAAATATGTGTTGAATCCTGACACTTAATGTGTCATCACCAAGTCGTTTTTATTTTCTATATCTTGGTTTATTTTTATCCATATATTTCCTTGATGTTGATTGCAGATATCCGAGACGGATATTTCATATTGTAAGGTCTATGTTGTGATGAACATTTGATAATGTCACGACTATGTTCGGAATGTTGACCTCAAGATGTTTTTTTTGTGTGTAGTTGTTTCTAGGTTCTCGTCTTATTAACATCCACTTTTAATTGTACTGTCAAATTCTTAGTATTTTATGTTCTGACTATTCTAAAAGTTATGATCATTCTATACTGTTATGAATATATACATTTGAACCCTTTCTATACTTTTTTGTTATATAATAAAGTTACACGTTAATTTAAATAGAAATCAATAGGTTTGTTAAATTTATTTTTCTCTTTTTACTTAATATCAGATAGCCTTCCAACTTTTGGTACAAATCATCATAAATTCATTTGCAAACATCTTTTCACTCCCTCAGGCAGAGCTGACTTTAGATAAATTTTGATTTTCTTTAAGGCCCATTTTGGTCATATTGCTTCAAAAGCTTCTGCATTTTTACAAATCCCTAGCTTTCAAATGTTAAGGTTTGATCATTCTTGATAATGGTAAATCCAGAAAAGTGCTTCACACACAAAAAATGAGTTTTATTTTCATTTCATATGAGTGTTAAGAGATTATTCCTAAAGACGATCTATATATCATGAACTTACTTCACAAAGTCCAGATCACTGGTTGTGGAGTCTACATTGGAAGAATCTGTAACAAAAATAACAAATCTTAAAAGGAAATAGCTCAAAACCACATTTTTTATAACTTAAAATAGACAGTTGGCTCATCTTTCTGCATAATGGACAGGGAAACGTATATGAGGTATGCCATATTTTATATGACAGACAATTTAAAAATCATCTTCATCCAATTTCTTCAAGTAAATACTTAGTGACAAGACTGTATCAACTATCCTTCTTAGCCTAATATCAAAGACATTTGATATCTCAGACATTTCTGACTATAAATGCAGATTATAAATGATTGAAAAGAAATTGATATTGTTCTTATAAAGATAATGTAAGATAAAAGTATATATAGGTACAAGGTGTCCTTCCTATAGGAAATGTTACCAAGTTACACTGAACATGCTATAAAGTTCACAACTTTCAAGAATTTTTGCATTTAACATTTCTAATGACATTATAGAAGACAGTACAATTATAATGTAGTATTTTAGATTCCCCAAACTATATATATAAGATGATTTGGTTTCAATGCAAGTACCATCAATATTCTCTTTGGTATGTTTCCTGTCATGCCCATTGACTGATGATGTCACTTCCTGCTTGCTTTTAATGGTTTTATCATAATGTGATATCCTCTTCTGTTTCTTACTTGGTGGGAGTTCTACCGAGGGTTCAATTGGTCTTTTCTGTAACAATATACATGTCTCATATTAACATTCTTGTAACATAAATTTAACTGTTACCCATGCCACATTGGTAGTGTAAATCATCCAATTAAATGAACATATTTAAATTACATATTTCTATAAATGTCAGTATACTTTTACATATACTTAAAATAGATTGTCAAATTAACAATATGTTAATGAATAACAATGGCGACAACTATGTTTTGTGTTAGCATAAGACATTTACCACCTAGCCATATGCTGAGGATTCTGATATTTGGCCACTAGTATTGAAAAAAGTGCTTTATCTATTGTTTAAGTGTGGAGATAGATAATTTTGTCTAATCACTAACACATATGTCATATCATAACAGAGTGATGATTTCTTTATGCTATATAAAACAATTTGATTTCATGTCAATTTTCAGAAATATGAATCCTCACAAGAATAGATGATTAGAAGTTTTTGACCTTCACCTTTCATCTACTGATAACAAGACCTATAGCTTTCTTTTACTGGATAACAACAAGACCTTCTTCACCTTTCACCTACTGGATAACACCACCTTCATATTTCTTCTACTGGATAACAACAAAATCTACACATTTCTTTTCCTGGATAACAAGCCTTCACCTGTCACCTACTAGATAACAAGACTTTCACCTTTCACCTACTAGATAACAAGACTTTCACCTTTCATTTACTGGATAACACAACCTTCATCTTTTACCTACTGGATACCAAGACCTTCATCTTTCATCCACTATCTACTGGATAACAAGACCTTCACCTTTCATTTACTGGATAAACTGGAGACTGCTCTAGCAGTTAGGGACTGAATACAGTAACTGCAGATTTCTCAGTATGCATGCATAAATTTCTAGGTATTAATTACACCACAGATGTCACAAATCTTTAAATTCTGACAAGCAAAGATAACCACAATTTCAAATTTAGAATACAAACTTCGCCCCCATTCGGAATATACACACTAAATGTCTAATAAATGAGCTTTTTATCTTATCGTCAACCTGTAAAATACTGATAAATGTAAATATGTGCCAATAACCATGTATATATTGTTTTACCTGTGGTACTGAGCTAGTAGGACTGTCAGGTGAAGGATGACTGGCAGGTGAAGCTGAAGGGGACAGACTCTGTAGTTTGCTGAAATTATAACTCACTATATTCAAATCACCTTTATATTTTTCATTGTACATTGTATTTTATTAACATTAAATAATAAATATGACAAAAAATATTTTGTCATTTAAATCCACTGCAGTCTTCATTATATAATAGTAACTTAACACAACTTTCATTTTCAGCCAATACTATTGTTGGATTTTAAATAAACAAAATATCTTATATAAAATAAAATTTCTTCCTTTTTCCATTTCACCGACTTCTGATCACACTACTTAAGGTGCATGTATCCAAATCAACAAGTATTCATAAAAGCATATTTAAATTTTTTTTTAATCTTTATTGAACTAAAAGCTGTTACAACAACAATGTTTTTACCTTTTGACTATGTCTTTATCACTATCTGTATAAAAAGGCCAGTCTAGTGAGACATCTGCATACAGATGTTTAAGGAGGTAATACTTATTATCACGAGGATTAAGGGAAGCCACACTTGTTACATGCTGTCCAAAGCTGTCCTTATCTTTTTCTTTCATGCCATCTGAAATATTAAATTGAAGGTACACAATAGAATAAACCCTTTTTGACTTTCATGACATCTTTGATGGATTAATGTCTTTATTAGCAGAGATGTCACAATATTCCAGTGATTGAGTAGGATATATCCATTCTCTCACTCATGTTGTTATTTTTCATAGGATTTTTAATCTTCTTTTTTGTAGTTGAAACTATTTTATCTTTACAAACTTTGTACAATCAACATTGAAATGAAACTAATCAATAATAAGTAAATTAGCTAAAACAACGGTGTACTTCAGATTGTGTAAAAAAATATGCTTTGACAAAAACTTATTGATTTTTATTTATTTTAGATTCAACCTCTCTTTTAGGAGACAGGTCTATAGAAGAAATTTCCCAATTTTGTATCAATATAATTGGGTTTTCTACAGATATATTGAAATAGTTGACACCTATGTTATTGGACAGTCTATATGCTCAATATACATAACAAAATCCTTTTCTCATCCTTTTGTCTATGATAGATGGACTAGATTACAACTTATATCATACATTCTCAAACAATAAAATATCCTAAATGTGCCCCATTAGATGGCAACCAAATATTTATCAATCAAAATCTCAAAAATACATACTGAACATATAATACAAAACCAAAGACGCAAAATTAAACACCATTGAAAATCATTTAAATAAACAAAATGGCCTAACAGAACAGCCAAATCTACAGGAATACAAAATGATGTTTTATGTAAAATATTTCATTAAAAAAACATGCAATATGTACTTCAATGAATAATAAATGATTGTGAAAATAGCTTTTAGTTGTTTACTTATAAATTCTACCACTGAATTGAGAGTGATACTACATTTCTCATCTCAAGACAATTAAATTACCACTGAATTGAGAGTGATACTACATTTCTCATCTCAAGACAATTAAATTACCACTGAATTGAGAGTGATACTACATTTCTCATCTCAAGACAATTAAATTACCACTGAATTGAGAGTGATACTACATTTCTCATCTCAAGACAATTAAATTACCACTGAATTGAGAGTGATACTACATTTCTCATCTCAAGACAATTAAATTACCACTGAATTGAGAGTGATACTGCATTTCTCATCTCAAGACAATAAAATTACCACTGAATTGAGAGTGATACTACATTTCTCATCTCAAGACAATAAAATTACCACTGAATTGAGAGTGATACTACATTTCTCATCTCAAGACAATTAAATTATCACTGAATTGAGAGTAATACTACATTTCTCATCTCAAGACAATTAAATTTTCAAACTTAAAGCACAAGGTTTACTGAGCATTTTAAGTAGAACTGTGAGAGTGGAGAATCATTTTATCGCACCAGATATGGTGGTGGAAATTTGTTTCTCTAATGTTTTTAGAATAGATGTAATCAAATTTTATACACTGGACGTTAAGCAATCAACTATCAATCAATCAAATTTTATATCCCTTTTTTCAGTGATCTACTAAAATATTTTCATTTGAACTGTCTTTATAAACAGGGTAACTTCAGTTATATAGACCTTACCCAACCAAAAACCATTGTAAATAGTAACAATTATAGAATATTGATGTAAATAAGATGTATTAATTCAAAATAAGACTAAACAGGTCTTAGCAGATATAAATTTCACTATTTCAAATTTCAAAATACTTGAAACTTGAACATATTTTTACCGAGATGATGGAGTGAGTTTGTATTTTGGAAGGAATATATCTTAACCATGTCAATGACATCTATAACATGTATATGGAATTCGGTGTATGACATGACCTAACTATAGAACTGCAGGAAGGATGTTTCTATCCTGGTAGCCTCAGGCAGATCATCTTACATTCTCAGTCTTTAACCTTAATGATCTTCTGAATGTTTAACATAAATAAAAATGTCATTATTCTGACATAATTACTCATTAATTCAGGTAAATTCCACAATTTCAATGTGTGGAATAATACTTTATTAGATTAAAGTCTAATATTAATGATAACCCGCTCACGTTTTATGAACTATAATAACAGTTACTCAGTTTCTCAGTTCTACCCCCCAACTAAAATCACAAATAATGTATATGAGCATGTTTATAATACAACAAAGATTTGAGTAGGCCTCCATGTTTGTTGTTGAGATATCAATACACATTATATGACAAGTTAGAGTCAAAAGAAGATAGATATAATATCACATGTTACATGTTCTGTTGTTAAAGTCATGCAGAGACTTCTGATAAAGTTCAAAATCATTAACTTATCATAAGATCTTCCTTCAGTATTTAGAAACTGTTTGCTTGTATTCAGGTACATTTCCTCTAATATCTTTTATCTATTATAGTTGTAGATTTTATGATTTAGTTAAAAAAGAAATTAACAGGAAAAAATCTCAGATATCAAAATTATTTGATTAAAGTTTTTTTTATATATTTGCCAACATTTAATAAGAGAACAGCAATGTGTTGCAAAAAATTCCTCCATGGTTCTATATCTGTACTGTTGTCTGTAAAATTGTATTTACAGCTCAAATTGACATTACATCACTTTCTAAAAATAATACTTCTACTTGAAAGCTCCATAAATGTTGTTTGTTTTTTTAATCCTGAAAATGCTTGCATATTGTTTCCTTGATATTCAATAACTCCTTACTTAAACAACACATATATACTTCCTATAATTTGGTGTAGTGAAATCCATGATTTTACTGTAGGGAAGTTTACTTGAAAAGATGATTTCACAGTTCACACCTTTAATAGGCAATTTATAAACAATACTAGAAATATGATCTATCATTTTAAGTTTGTAGATTTGTAAAAAAGTAAATGTTATGATCATTACTGTGCATCTAAGAGCCAATTGGATGTCCTCTAAAATCATTTTTCTTAAAGGAAAATCCCTGTGTGCTGGTTTTAAAACTAAACATGTTTCATTAATTTACAATGGCCTTGCATATAATGAATAACATGTACTTTTGATTAAAACAAAAACATAAATAATTGTGGCAGTGCATAAATATCCAGTCAACTAGTCTCCAAATCTAAATGTCAATAGAAGAGTTTTTTTTTAGGTATATGTTTTTCGTCATACTTTTTCCCCAATCATTAGCAAAAATAGTTAAAACTCACGAGAGGGTCATAAAGGGAGTACCACAGATAAAAGTGTAATAAAAGTGTGACTTCTCAATGAATTTAAACTTATTTTGTAATATGTGCATTTTCACCTCTGCAAACAAGGCTATTCCAGCCCCCCCCCCCCCCCCCCCCCCCCCCCCCCCCCCCCCCCAAAATAAAACATTAGAAACAGGTGGCATTAAATAATCCTTAAGTACCTTCTAATAAAAAAAACCTAAAATTTATAATCCTATGAATGTATCATTCAATAAACAAAAACATGTTACAAAAATATTACATTCCTTTAAGGGATTCAAATATTATGAAACATAAAATAATCATCTAAAAAAAAAAAGTTTTACAAAATTTGTACAGTACTGGACTTGTTTATTCATGTCTGCAACTGGACGTTAAGCAACCAACAATCAATCAATCAATCATGTCTGCATAGTAAATGTCATAACATACTCTTATGATTATTTGAGAAGAAGTGAATGCAGCATTTTCCTCTGAAATTTACGTAAAATAATAATAGGAACATTGATGGTCTGACACTAGTAGCATAATGGGGAAAGAAATGGACACACAGAATCCCCATCACTGTTTATTATATGTAATTATAATAAATAAATGAGAACTGACAATAAGGGGAATCTGTCTTAAAGTACAGTAGATGTATCTCTGTTCAAATGAACTTACCTCTTTTTAATCGCACCAATAGCTCAGGTTTCTTAAACGGCCTTACAGCTAGTAAATGTAACAGTCTTTCCCTATAAAACATAATTAATAGTTATATTTACATACCAGGAAATCATGGATATTCAGAAGGGTTATTAACAGTCAAATTACACTCTCAATCTATGAGTAAAAAATTTACTCCCAAGCAAAAATCAATTATTATTCATATATATTTAGGAAATCTATTGCTTTTTCCATATTCATGTAATTGTTATTTGTGAAGCAAAGTGCTACCATGGTAACTTTAAGTAGGTCATTTGCATTTTTTTTAGGTGTTTAAAAGCCATTCAAAAAGCTTCAACTTATTCTGCAAAGCATTTCTTTCTAAGGAACATGGAAAATATTTAAAAAAAACTTTAATGATGAGAATGAAAAAAATTTATTTGCAGATTTTTGGAAGTTCGTTATGAACATCACAAAAGAAACTTTTTTTACTAACAAAATCAAACTTTAAAATTACTTTTCGCACAGATGTAACAACACTTGCAAAAAATAAATGAATGCACCACCTCTGATATAATTAAAGTTGAAAGTTAACTTACCTGAAAGGTTTTTGCATCACAGCAGGATTAACTGTACTAGCAGGTTTTGTAGAAGTAGGGATGAATCCTTTGTTAAGATTGGAAGACGTAACAGCATTATTACGATGAAGCGCTGATGTTGTTGAGGTGACAAGGTTTGTTGGAGGTTGGCGTTGAGGCACTGACACAGGCACAGGCATCGGAGAAACCACAGTTGGCTTCGGTTTATTTTGGTTTATTGCACTTATTGTTGGAGATGGTTTGGGTTGTGATGTTTCAAGTTCTCGTTTTGGATTTTTAATTATGTGTTTGACCCTTTTACTAATATTTGGTCCACTATGTTTGATTTCCTGGGTTCTGAAATAAGAAAAAAGATGTATTTATTAAAACCTTTCATGATGATATTACACAGGCATGTTCTGAAACCTCTCTATAGCAAAGGTTGTCCTATTAAAGTGAATGACAAAACCAGGATCTATTTATTACAGAAATCCTATATTTAACCCTCCTGAACATCTTCTTAGCATGCTTATGAATAAATGAGGATGTTGGATAAACATCAATGAAACAGCTACCCAACAATAAAAAAATAACCAAATGACATTAACAGGACAAGACACACTTCTGAACAGGTGTTTATATCATGTTCTAAATAGTCAGCAGTTTGGACAAAGATCAAATTCTATAAAAAGTTATCTTAACAATGTTTATTAGATCCAAAAGTACCTCATCATAAGATGTTTATGTATCATATATTATATATGCATTTAGTTACTATGTCCAAATATATATAAATATTATATCTAATGACTTTCAGATTACAGTCAATGTCATCATTAAAGCATTAATACAAACATAGGGAAATGAAGCTGACAATTTTCTACCGGTTTGTTTAATCATACAAAATTATTGCAGTTTATATATCTAATCGTACAACAAAATGACACTTTATGTTTTTCTTTTTTTTTAATTTTTCATGAATAATGACCAAAAAATTGCCTTTTATTCAACATCAGATTTGTTTTTTGCTTTGAGAAACTAAAATTCCTTCATACTGAAATGGACATTTCTAACTTTTTCTAGCAATATTTAATGTACAAATCAATAATATTTTTTATTATGAAATTTTATACTTTGCAATTTTTCATAACTCAAAAGGTTTAAAATCCAATGTAATACAAATCCTACCCATTGCTTATTGATGTGTTAATCTGAGAACCTTTAAAGATCACAGCTTGAAATGTAGTTAGTTCTCTTTAATGTTTTTTTCTAAAGGAAAATTTACAAAAATATTGACAGAAGTACATATATTAATTGACAGTTTTATGAACTTGTAACAAAGGAGTTATATAATAATTTGTATAACTAATATCTAAATCAGAAAAAATAATTGATATTCAACAGTAATTTGTCATTTAAATATAATTGTTTCTTTCTATCAATAACACACAGATGTGATACATGTAACAAAATCCTTTAATTTAAGTTCAGTTCTCTGTTATGTTTTAACATCAACAATATATTTCCAGTGAAATTGGTAATGCCTGTGTGAAAGTTGTTAAATCAATGAGTTTAGCATATTTAATATCAAATATTCTAACTTTTAATGAGCTACCTTTTTGTACTGTTTACAAATTCTATTGTAAACTTCTCTGATGGAAGACAAATAACCCAAAATTTTAATTAATTTGAACAACTTTAAATGAACAAGTTCCTCATACCAATGCACACAAGGCTTTTAACCTGATCATAGAAGGAGGTAAAGAATTCTTGGAACAGCTGCTTTAGCTGAGAGCCAAACCGTTGTATATTACATGCATCAACAGAAAAATCCAGCATTGAAAATAATTTCAAACAGGTAAAACTGACAAACTTTAAAACTTCTACATAATGAACAATGATATTTTTTAAATTCCATTTTTTAAACTTTACAAGAAATCAGAACAAAGTGAATTTTTGTTAAAGTTGAAATAAATAAATAGTGAATGTGTCCAAGGGACACAGATGATGCCCCAGCTTGCATATAACATTATAAAGGGACATAATTCAAGAACGATAAAAGTGACGCTACCCAAATTCGTACTTGACCTGAGTTTTGTGGTAAAAAGCATTGTGTATAAGTTTCTTAGCATTTGATTGAGGCAAACTTAGTTAGAGAATGGAAACGAAAAATTCAGAACTTTTTCATTTGAAAAGGGCATAACACTCTAGAAGGGTAAAAGTGACGCCACCAAAATTCAAACTTGATCTGTGTTTTGTGGTAATATGCATTGTGTAAAAGTTTAATAACATTTGGTTGAGGCAGACTCAAGTTAGAGAACGGAAACCAATTTCGGGACGTATGGACGTACAGACGGACAAGGGTAAAACTTAATGCCCCCTCCGCTACGGCGGGGGCATAAAAAGATATGTGATAAAATTATTTTCGTAACAGACAGTAGTCAAAACCAAAACTGACAAACCTGAACTAGAACCTCACAGAAGATATAAACAGACAAATACAAACAGTAGTAAGTGAAGAAGACACCAAACAATTTGGCAAGTGAAGCCCCTTATAAAGACTTACCCATTCAGTTCTATACATCTGTAAGAACTTTTTAAGTGAAGCCCCTAATAAAGACTTACCCATTCAGTTCTATACATCTGTTTGCAAGATATGACAATTGAACAGAAAAATATATAAGAAACAACCTTGAATTGGTCACTTCACCTGGATGGCAATCTAATGCACATTAAACCCATATCCCCTTTTATCTGATACATGTTTATAGTGAAACCCTTTTTAATGGAAGTTGGCCAAATCTTTTCTTCAGACGCTTACTCAACCAGAATGTATCATACTTTTAGTGTTGAGCATTATGTCTTCTACAACATAAAGAAATTCAGGACTGATAGTGCTAAGTCTTCTATAATAGTCAATAAAATGCTCCGCTGGGCGCAGCTTGATACGACAGCAGAGGTCGAACCCTGAACAGTTGGGGCAAGTATGGACACAACATTCAAGCTTGATACAGCACTGAATTTGGATTGTGATTAAATATTTGACACAGCATAGGTTTCTGACACAGAATGAATGTGGTCTAAGAACTCAAAATTTTGAATTTACCTATTCAAACCATATCATTATTATTTGCTTTAACATATAAATCAGAAATAACCAATTTAAAATGGTAAATTTTAAAGAAAAAAAAAGGAAAAAAAAATCCCTCCCCCAAATTTTTTGAACCTCCTTATGATTCATCAACCCCAAACTCAATCCCAGCCTTCCCTTTGTGGTATGGTACCTTGCAGTACAATTTCAGAGAGATCCATACACTTGAACACAAGTTATTGTCTGGAAAACTAGAAAAATGCTTGATTTTAGGCCCCTTTTTGGCCCCAAATTCCTAAACGTTTAGGGCAATTACCCCCAAACTCAAACCCAGCTTTCCCTTTGTGATATGGAACCTTGTAGTACAATTTCATAAAGATCCATACACTTACACACAAGTTATTGTCCTGAAACTAGAAAAATGCTTATTTTTGGCCCCTTATTCCTAAACGTTTTGGGCAATTACCCCCAAACTCAATTCCAGCTTTCCCTTTGTGATGTGGAACCTTGTAGTACAATTTCAGAAAGATCCATACACTTACACACAAGTTATTGTCATGAATGTTTGTTTTTTGCCCCTTTTTTCGCCCCTAATTCCTAAAATTTTGAGGCAATTACCCCCAAAATTAATCCCAGCATTCTCTTTGTGATATGGAACCTTGTGGTACAATATCAGAGAGATCCATTCACTAACAAACAAGTTATGTCTGGAAGTTACAAAAATGCTTATTTTGGCACCTTTTAGCCCCTAATTCCTTAACTGTTGGTACCATAACCCCCAAAATCAATCCCAACCTTCCTTTTGTGGTATTGAACCTTATGGTAAAATTTCATAGAGATCCATTCACTTAAACTAAAGTTAGAGTGCGAAAAACACAATGTGTCTTGGACGACGACGACACCAACGTCATACCAATATACGACCACAAAATTTGTTTGCGGTCGTATAAAAACTTCTGGACAGTTTAAAGTACATATCTAGTCAACTAGCCTATCTAAGAAAATCTTAGTTCAGTTTTCAGAAAAATTACATGCAACAGAAATAAGACATGAGATAAAATTGTAACGAGAATATCAAATGAACAATACTATAAATCACCTGTTGTTTTATTTTTACAGGTTTATTGTCAAAGTCATAACAGTGTATCAAAAGGGAAAGATTTATTGTCAGTGAAGGATTTTATGTACATTATAATACATGTACTTGTTAATTCAAAGACTTAATATATGACTGACATGTTCCACATGGTACAAATCACTATACAAGGAAAAATACATAAATCAAAAAACATATCTATACAATTACATAATTGATGACTTCATAATACACAAAATAAATGTACAACTATCAGAAAAAATTATTCAACTTTGAACTCTAGAAGTTACACTTCAGGCTGTTGTGACGTAAGGTCATTCTGGCCATATATTAGCCAAGTGGTTTTAAGAAAAGGTATTGCACAAAACATTTTCATTAAAAGTTCACTAATTATATCAAATATTAAACTGAAAGATTACCATCTAGGGATTATCCCTGCCAAAATTGGTTTATATTGATTACATCAGATTTCCAATTGCAAAGAAGAGGGTACAATTTGGTGCTTATTTGGCCCTGTGGAAAACTTAATGGATGATACAATCATTGGCTACTTTATTGGCTAAATGTAGGCCTTGTCTTTAGGAAAATAACAATATTGGATTAGTCTTGATGACACAAAATGATTTTGATGTCAGTGAAGTGAGTCATAGTGGCTATTTACCAAATTTTGGCAAAAAAAGAGAGGCTAAATTCATAAACACAAGCATCGCTTAAAACCATTTCCTATCAGCAAGTAAATAAACATAAAATACTCATCCTGTGTGAATATCTTTTTGGGCGAGACTTGTGCTCTATTTTATTTCTTAACATCTGTGCAATTACAGAATTTACTGTCTTTAAATTGCAGTATTACCAATGAATGGCACTAATTTTAAAATAATACCAAAATGTTTTATTATTAAAGAACATAGATTTAACATGTAATTCTGTAAATTTGACAGAATTTTAAATAGAATTCATATTAGGGCCAATATGACCCAAAGTCATACTTTGTCCTTTAATTAAAAAAATATTTTCATCTTTATTGTAACAGTGACCAGTGGACTTATTTCCTAAACAGTGACCAGTGAGTGGACTTATTTCCTAATTTCTGTAAAAAGCAATAAAGGATGATTGGTGTAAACCTACAAAAAGTTGTCTGTTGATCAGAATATTCCAATTTCCTGAAAAAAATATGGATTGAATGCTGTATGAACCTGTTATCCTTACCTAACTTTACCCCATTCCTATAAACCTGTTATCCTTACCTAACTTTACCCCATTCCTATAAACTGTTATCCTTACCTAACTTTACCCCATTCCTATAAACCTGTTATCCTTACCCCATTCCTATAAACCTGTTATCCTTACCCCATTCCTATAAACCTGTTATCCTTACCTAACTTTACCCCATTCCTATAAACCTGTTATCCTTACCTAACTTTACCCCATTCCTATAAACCTGTTATCCTTACCCCATTCCTATAAACCTGTTATCCTTACCTAACTTTACCCCATTCCTATAAACCTGTTATCCTTACCTAACTTTTCCCCATTCCTCTTGAGCACTTTTCATTTGTTCTCTGGTTTGTTGGAAAACATCACTAGTGGCTATCACTGTCATTTTATTGGTCATAGAACCCTCAAGTATCATGTGGTTTCCATTGCTGCAAAATAACAATTATAACCTTTATGTAGCCAACAAAATAGGACATAAATTCTACCTCTGTCCTCATAATTTATGTTGTGCAGTATTTAAGATCCTCATGTTAAATAAAATGAAAATAACACTATTAATGTGTTGCTTCTGAAATGATTTAAAGACAAAACAAAACCTCAAAAATAATGCAACACCAGTTCTTATTGTTCCATTACGGAAATCTTGGATCCATTATGTCAAAATATTCCAAGCAGACTAGTTTGAAATGTCAGTTACTGGTACTAGAACAATTGTTATGCTTAAAACAGATTTCTACTGATTCCAGGCTTTTACTGAATATTACAGATACTGGAAATCTTGTCAAGTTATAACAGTTTCTACTGAGTCCAGGCTTTTACTGAATATTACAGATACCGGAAATCTTGTCAAGTTATAACAGTTTCTACTGATTCCAGGCTTTTACTGAATGTTACAGATACTGACAATCTTGTCATGTTATAACAGTTTCTACTGATTCCAGGCTAGGCTTTTACTGAATATTACAGATACTGGAAATCTTGTCAAGTTATAACAGTTTCTACTGATTCCAGGCTTTTACTGAATGTTACAGATACTGACAATCTTGTCAAGTTATAACAGTTTCTACTGATTCCAGGCTAGGCTTTTACTGAATATTACAGATACTGGAAATCTTGTCATGTTATAACAGTTTCTACTGATTTCAGGCTTTTACTGAATGTTACAGATACTGGAAATCTTGTCAAGTTATAACAGTGTCTACTGATTCCAGGCTGTTACTGAATGTTACAGATACTGGAAATCTTGTCATGTTATCACAGTTTTTGTTTAAGACAAGAGTGCACACGCTGAAATGTCTCGCCTTCTTTACTAATCATTGATATTATGTTGATAGTCCTAAATATAAAGCTTTATTACAACTGTCACATAAACTTAACATTAACCAAGTAAACTAAACATTTGACCAATGAACCATGAAAATGAGGTCAAGGTCAGATGAACCATGCTAGGCAGGCATGTACAGCTAACAATTCTTCCATACAACAAATATAGTTGACCTATTGCTTATAGTTTAAGAAAAACAGACGAAAACACAAAAACTTAACACTGAGCAATGAACCTTGAAAATGAGGTCAAGGTCAAATAAAACCTGTGTGACTGACATATAGATCATAAAATATTTCCATACACCAAATATAGTTGAACTATTGCATATAGTATTAGAAAAAAAGACCAAAACTCAAAAACTTAACTTTGACCACTAAACCATGAAAATGAGGTCAAGGTAAGATGACACCTGCCAGCTAGACATGTACACCTTACAATCATTCCATACACCAAATATAGCTGACCTATTGCATGCAGTATTAGAAAAAAAGACCAAAACTCAAAAACTTAACTTTGACCACTGAACCATGAAAATGAGGTCAAGGTCAGATGACACCTGCCAGCTAGACATGTACACCTTACAATCATTCCATACACCAAATATAGTAGACCTATTGCATACAGTATAAGAAAAACAGACCAAAACACAAAAACTTAACTATAACCACTGAACCATGAAAATGAGGTCAAGGTCAGATGACACCTGCCAGTTGGACATGTACACCTTACAGTCCTTCCATACACCGAATATACTAGACCTATTGCTTATAGTATCTGAGATATGGACTTGACCACGAAAACTTAACCTTGTTCACTGATCCATGAAATGAGGTCGAGGTCAAGTGAAAACTGTCTGACGGGCATGAGGACCTTGCAAGGTACGCACATACCAAATATAGTTATCCTATTACTTATAATAAGAGAGAATTTAACATTACAAAAAATCTGAACTTTTTTTTCAAGTAGTCACTGAACCATGAAAATGAGGTCAAGGACATTGGACATGTGACTGACGGAAACTTCGTAACATGAGGCATCCATATACAAAGTATGAAGCATCCAGGTCTTCCATCTTCTAAAATATAAAGCTTTTAAGAAGTTAGCTGACGCCGCCGCCGCCGCCGCCGGATCGCTATCCCTATGTCGAGCTTTCTGCGACAAAAGTCGCAGGCTCGACAAAAACTAGATATAAGTAAACTGATTTAACTGTATAACATACTAGTTATAGGTCGATAGGCACTGGTCAACTGAACATGCAAATGGGGTTAGGGGATTAAAGGGGTATCTTTGATTTGTTGCTTGTTATATACTTTCATATTTTGTAATTAAATTATGCAACATTCAGACATAGCTGAGAAAAAATTCATCACAATGTATGTTTAATATACTAAAAGAAACCAAATGTGTCTTCGGACGACGAAGGCGCTGCCGACAACAAAGACGACATGACAGCATTATACTAACGCAAAATTTTTTGCAGTCGTATAAAAAGCATAATATCAGGACAAAGTCAAACTCATTACTTAGTCAGCAAATTCATTACCTACATCCTATTTAAAATTAGATTAGCTTTAACTTTTTTATTTTTAATTTGTGTGTAAGGATATCTTTATATTATTGAATTTCTACTTATATAATTCAAATTAGCATGCATCATAATCCTTATCGGATGAATATCAGATATTGTAACCTCAAGGTTTTTGCCATATTTTGTTATATATAACTAATTAAGATTTTATAACATGGTCATGACTGACAGCTTATATCTGAAATACATCATGTACATAGACAAAAATAACAGCAACTTATTTTACCCTGGAAAAAACTATTTAACACTTAAAACATAAAAAAATAGAAGCATATACAATGGCTTAACCTTACATTTTTTGTACAACCCTGCACATAAACCCCTTTTCTGTACAATACTGCAAAAAAAAAATCATTTTCTCTACAATCCTCGACATAAAACCCATTTTCATTACAACCCTGTTTATAAAAACACATTTTCTGTGCAACCCTGCATAAAAAAAATATTTTCTGTACAACATGTATATTTTTAATAACATTTGTGTTTCTTGCTGTTGGTTATTTACTTATATTCCAACAGACTGAAGAACCGACAATTGGTTCTGACAATGAGTATCTTGTCTTTACTCATCCTGTTATCTTGGTTATTTACTTATATTCCAACAGACTGAAGAACCGACAATTGGTTCTGACAATGAGTATCTTGTCTTTACTCATCCTGTTATCTTGGTTATTTACTAATATTCCAACAGACTGAAGAACCGACAATTGGTTCTGACAATGAGTATCTTGTCTTTACTCATCCTGTTATCTTGGTTATTTATTTATATTCCAACAGACTGAAGAACTGACAATCAGTTCTGACAATGAGTATCTTGTCTTTACTCATCCTGTTATCTTGGTTATTTACTAATATTCCAACAGACTGAAGAACTGACAATCGGTTCTGACAATGAGTATCTTGTCTTTACTCATCCTGTTATTTTTACATATGGGATAGAAGGATTTTCTTGATTGAAATACATGTAGTGTCCACACAAGTAAATACAAAACAAACTAATGCACACAGTAGTAACTTCCTTTCTTGTTCAATATAATAAACCTCTCCTGCTCATAAATGATGTATATACTGACCCTTTCCCCAAATAAATTAATACCCTGTGGCAGCATGGTGTCAAAACTACCATTTTCTACTGACATACCCAAGTATAAATAAGTAGATGTGGTATTATTGCCAACGAAACAACTATCCCAGCCCCACTGCCCCAAAAACCAACACATACCTTGGAGCAGACTGCTGTACACAGTCATAACTTGGTTCTGATAAAGATGCTAAAGAAAACTGGAATGTTCTACTATCATCAGAGGATTTCTTTGGAATTGTAATGACCTGAAAAATAAGAATACATGTATAATGTAGACTTACAAAAATATAGTATCTTGCAATCAATCTTTTAATTATACAAATAAATGTATGTTAACATTTTTTAAAATACATGTAGTATACTATGATTTCATTTATTTTCTTGGATACCAATTTTCGCCGATTGAGGAGAACTTATATTTTCGTGGATATTTGATTTCATGGATTTGCCTAAGTCTGTATATATAAGCATGAAGAAAATATGTATTTCTTTGAACATTTAAACCTACGAATCCACACAAATTGGTATCCCATGAATAATAATAAAATGCTTCGCTGGGGCGCAGCTTGATACGACCGCAGAGGTCGAACCCTGAACAGTTGGGGCAAGTATGGACACAACATTCAAGCTTGATACAGCTCTGAATTTGGATCGTTATTAAATATTTGACACAGCATAGGTTTCTGACACAGAAAGAATGTGGTCTAAGAACTTGAATTTTTTTAATTTACCTATTATGGTCCAATGTCCAAAATCAAAATACATGGTTAGATTCAGCATATCAAAGAACCCCATACATTCAATTTTTGTTGAAATCAAAAAAATTTTAATTTTGGACCCCAACTTGGACCAATTTGAAAACTGGGCCCATAATCAAAAATCTAAACACATGTTTAGATTCAGCATATCAAAGAACACCAAGAATTCAATTTTTGTTAAAATCAAACAAAGTTTAATTTTGGACCCTTTGGACCTCAATGAAGACCAATTTAAAAAACGGTACCCAAATTAAAAATCTAAAAACACGGTTAGATTTGGCATATCAAAGAACCCCAATAATTCAATTTTCGATGAAATCAAACAAAGTTTAATTTTGGACCCTTTTGACCTCAATTTGAACCAATTTGATAGCGGGGCCTACAAATAAAAAATCTAAATACATGGTTAGATTCAGCATATCAAAGAACCTCATATATTCAATTTTTGTTGAAATCAAACAAAGTTTAATTTTGGACCCCAACTTGGACAAACTTGAAAACTGGGCCCATAATCAAAAATCTAAACACATGTTTAGATTCAGCATATCAAAGAACCCCAAGAATTCAATTTTTGCTAAAATCAAACTAAGTTTAATTTTGGACCCTTTGGACCTTAATGTAGACCAATTTAAAAAACGGGACTTAAAATTAAAAATCTAAATACATGGTTAGATTTGGAATATCAAAGAACCCCAATAATTCAATTTTTGATGAAATCAAACAAAGTTTAATTTTGGACCCTTTTAACCTCAATATGAACCAATTTGATAGCGGGGCCCACAAATAAAAATTCTAAATTCATGGTTAGATTCAGCATATCAAAGAACCCCATATATTCAATTTTTGTTGAAATCAAAAAAAGTTTAATTTTGGACCCCAACTTGGACCAACTTGAAAACTGGGCCCATAATCAAAAATCTAAACACATGTTTAGATTCAGCATATCAAAGAACACCAAGAATTCAATTTTTGTTAAAATCAAACTAAGTTTAATTTTGGACCCTTTGGACCTCAATGAAGACCAATTTAAAAAACGGTACCCAAATTAAAAATCTAAAAACACGGTTAGATTTGGCATATCAAAGAACCCCATAAATTCAATTTTCGATGAAATCAAACAAAGTTTAAATACTGGACACTATCTTGGACCAACTTGAAAACTGGGCCCATAATCAAAAATCTAAACACATGTTTAGATTCAGCAAATCAAAGAACCCCAAGAATTCAATTTTTGTTAAAATCAAACTTAAGTTTAATTTTGGACCCTTTGGACCTCAATGTAGACCAATTTTAAAAAACAGGACCCAAAATTAAAAACCTAAATACACGGTTAGATTTGGAATATCAAAGAACCCCAATAATTCAATTTTCGATGAAATCAAACAAAGTTTAATTTTGGACCCTTTTGACCTCAATATGAACCAATTTGATAACGGGGTCCACAAATAAAAAATCTAAATACATGGTTAGATTCAGCATATCAAAGAACCCCATATATTAAATTTTTGTTGAAATCAAACAAAGTTTAATTTTGGACCCCAATTTGGACCAACTTGAAAACTGGGCCAAAAATCAAAAATCTAAATACATGTTTAGATTCAGCATATCAAAGAACCTCATATATTCAATTTCTGCTAAAATCAAACAAAGTTTAATTTTGGACCCTTTGGACATTAATGTAGACCAATTTGAAAACTGGACCCAAAATTAAAAATCTAAATACACTGTTAGATTCGGCATAACAAATAAATAAATGTGATCAAAGATTTTACAAATCTAATGCGCCATACTGTGCAATTAAAGATTACTTCTTGAAATTTTTCAATATTTGAAATTTGAAAAAAAAATAATATTTGAAGAATAATTCTTTTTAATTTCTGAAATCTGAAATGAGAAAAAATTGGCCCCCCACAATTTCTTTTTATCCCCCCCCCCCTTTTTCCCTCAAAAAAATTCTTTCCCTCAAGATATGGTCATAATCTCAATTCAAATTTCCAATGGAGTTGGCAACCATAATTACCCATTTAAATTTACCATAGTGCTAACTTAATCTATTTTATAATAGAATTAATAAAAATATAGTGTCAAATCTTTCATATGGATTTTTTTGTAAAAAAAAAAGATGAAAACATTTGCAGATATTTTTACTGGTCTTCCTTTATAAATATGCATTTCTTTAAACATAATTTAAAAGCAGTGTAAGGGAAGTAACCAAAACGTATTTGGATTACCTCCCTTACACTGTTTTAGATTATCTTTATTGTTCATTAACCATTACTTTATACATAATTTAAAAGCAGTGTAAGGGAGATAATTTCAATGATGTATTTGATTTATCTCCCTTATACTGCTTTAAATTATGTTTTGTACTAAAGTATTTGTCCATTAACCAGGACAACCTTGTTTTTCCCCCTTTTTTGCCCCTAATTCCTAAACAGTTTGAGCCATAACCCCCCAAAGCAAATCCTAACCATCCCTTTGTGGTATGGAAACTTGTAGTATTATTTCAGAGAGATCCATACACCGTTCCACAGTTATTGTCAGGAAACTAGAAAATGCTCATTTTTGGCCCCTAATTCCTAAACTGTTGGTACCATAACCCCCAAAATCAATCCCAACCTTCCTTTTGTGGTATTTAACCTTATGGTCAAATTTCAAAAAGATCCATTCACTTAAACTAAAGTTAGAGTGCGAAAACCAATATGTATTCGGACGACGACGCCGGACGACGACGACGGACGCCGACGACGACGACGACGCCAACGTCATACCAATATACGACCACAAAATTTTTTTGCGGTCGTATAATAAATACACATAAATTGGTATCCCATGAATAATAATGAATCCAGGTAAATTGGTATCCCATGATTAATAATGAATCCACGTAAATTGGTATCCCATGATTAATAATGAATCCACGTAAATTGGTATCCCATGATTAATAATGAATCCACGTAAATTGGTATCCCATGATTAATAATGAATCCACGTAAATTGGTATCCCATGATTAATAATGAATCCACGTAAATTGGTATCCCATGATTAATAATGAATCCACAGTACAAATATCTTTTCCAGGTATCCTGCTTCTAAGAAACAAACTTCAGTAAGAGATCAGAAATGGAAAATTCAGCAATTTTTCCATTTGTTAAGGGGCATAACTCTAGAATGGTTAAAGTTACACCACCCAAATTCAAACTTGATCTGAGTTTTGTGGTAATAAGGATTGTGTATAAATTTCATGACATTAGGTATAGGCAAACTAAAGTTAGAGAATGGAAACCAATACTGGGACTTCTGTCTGTGACGGATAAGGGTAACAATTAATGCCCCCTCCGCCGCGTTGGCGGCATAAAAAACAAACATTTAACAAAGAATTTATAATTTTCTTTGAAATTTCAGGAAAAAGACATCTACACTAAACACTACCAACACACTGACCTTAATTTTGCTGGACTAACCTGATGAACTAAAAAAAAAATCTTTTTTTATCTGAAACCACAAACATTTTTTCTTGTGAATGAAATGTATTACAGGAAAACATGTAATTCCCTCTAGTAGCAGAGAAACTAGAAGTTTGTGTATATCATGATATTGTTTCAATAAATGTTGACATAGATTTTATATGTTTTTGAAATTTTTATTATTACAAAACAAAGGCCTTGACCCACTGATCTACTTTTTTTTTTTTATGTCAACCCTTTGAGTATGAAATGGTGACAAACTGTTTTAGTATGGAAATTAAATACATTTTGTTCTAAGTTAGTCTTTTTTTTTTATCCCATCTGTCACCATTTAGCGTTCATTGGATAAGTCAACACAAATAAAAGAAATTTTCATTACACTGGAGGTTACATGAGCCTATCTTGCTCACATGGAATATAAAGATAAAAGTAAATCTTTGAAAAAGTAAACAGATAGATAACAATGTTAGGTAAGGGCAATGGCTCATACGACCTTTCACCAGGTGACCAGGTGAACTAACAAAAGTATTTATTTGATATACTGAAACAGGTGTTTATAGACAGTCATTAAGGTGATACTATACTTGAGTGAAATACCATTCATTACATCATGATAAACATTTAAACAATTTACCTACAATTCTTAGTTGTTCATACTTGTGATATTTTGGGTGGAAAATGATTCAGATGTACCCATGAGAATGTACACATACAAGTTGTCATGAGAACATTCTGAACCTTTGCATGATGATTTAAAGTAACTTTTCATCTATCAGAAGTTTAATTGTATTTTGAAATTTTCAATAATCATATTGTACAAAATATATATATGTAATTCATTAAAGATTATTTTTTTCTTTAAAAAATGACCTCTGGTTTTACACCTTTTCAATTTAAGTTCTTAGTCTGTTTTTTTTTTTTTTTTGGGACAATTGAATTACGCAGCTCCATTAAATATTGTTTGAAATTCATGAAAATTTGAAAGATTCCACCATACACTTAGTTCCTAAAATTGATTG